AAAAAAAAAAAAAGAACTATATTGTGCGATTTACCTATGTGTGTGGCTTAGTGAACTACATGATGAAGATATTGTAAGGCATCTTGGCCTTAATTTCCTGTTCTGAAAATTACAAGCAGTATAACCTCAGATAGGTAAGTTACTTTCTAACATATGTAAAACTGAGAGGGCGGTAGTGGGAACTCCTTTACTAGAGTATTGTAAAATTCATCCAGCTACTGAATTTCATAACTGTAAAGAACTGTGCAAAAAGGAATGGTAATATTAATGTTAAGATTTTAAACATTTAAGACACTGTGTGTGTGTGTGTGTCTTATTTGAGATGGGAAAATGGGCAGTAGAACTAGAGACATGGACAAGAAAACACCTTCTCCAGGCTAGAATCCTAGGTGGGAGTATTAAGGAGACCCATGAGCACTAAAGCTGGAGTTTGCTTGGATTTCCTGAATATGTGACATGTGCACAACATACATGTGCCGAAATTATTCAGGAAAATCCTGTATAGAGACTAACAGTTATATTTCTATTCAACATGGAAAAAGTGATCTAACATTCTACTTGTTCTTGTGATCTGTTTTTAGTTTACCAAAGTAGAGGTTTGGACTTTACGCTGTAACCACTGAACACTCCTCTGCTTGGCTTGACAAATAACATAAAGGCAACACAAGGCAAGCTCAGCTAGGCTATGCTTCCCGCAGAGAAAGATGAATTCTTTTTTAAAAAGTTTATTTTCATAGATTACAGCAAAAAAATGGACTTTTGTTACAGATTATTAGTTAGGAATCCTCCCTTTTAGTAGCTCAAACATATCATATTTTGAAAATATGTTCATGATCTTTTTAGTGTGACCTCCCTTAATGAGATGCGTGCCTTTCCTAGACAAGGCAGTATTTTATTTTTCCCTGTATTGTAGGAACTTAAAAATATTCACTAATGATGATGATGTGATAAAGTTTAGCCTCAGCTCTAGAATGTTGGCCACATGAAAGCTGCAAACTATTTTTCATACAACAGAAAAGTTATTGGGAGCTAGAAGATATGGTTTTATTTTAGTTCGATCATGTTACTTGTCATGTGACCTTGAACAAGCCATTTAACTTTCCAAGCCCCATTTTTTTTTCCTTTGTAAAATCCTGAAACATTACTGAGAATCAAATGAAATAAGGCATATATAAACAGCCCTTCAGTGAGTTCCTACTGTATAGGACTGGTCTGTTCCACATCTGGATCTCTAATGCAAAACAATACATTGGGAAAGTACCAGGCATTGATAAACATAAGACATTTGTTAATTATTTCACATGTAATTTAGAGGCTCCAAATCCCAATGGGACAACAATGTGACTGGTAAAAAAAAAATCTATCCCTGCTTTAAAGGTCCATAGACTCATGGGATCTTAGTGATTATATTATACAATCTCTTACTTTACAGATGAGAAAGTAGAATAACTATATAGTTAACACATGGAAAAGCAAAACTAAAAGCCACCTTTATATTAAGCCATAAGATTTGTAGCTGTACTGAATATTAACCATTACCATGTTAGTGACAAGATGGCTCAAAAAGTAGTGTAAGATATACTTTATTTTAGGCTTCTTTTAAAAAATGACCCAGGCCGGCTGCAGTGGCTCATGCCTGTAATCTCAGCACTTTGGGAGGCCGAGGCAGGTGGATCACGAGGTCCGGAGATCGAGACCATCCTGGCCAACATGGTGAGACCACATCTCTACTTAAAGTACAAAAATTAGCTTGGCATGGTGATATGTTCCTGTAATCCCAGCTACTCGGGAGGCTGAGGCAGGAGAATCGCTTGAACCAGGGAGTCAGAGGTTGCAGTGAGCTGAGATCGCGCCATTGCACTCCAGCCTGGCAACAGAGTGAGATTCTGTCTCAAGCAAAAAAAAAGACCCGTAATATAACTTCTCTTTGCCCCATCTTACAATATTATTCAAGTCCAGAAACAGAGTCTATTCTGATCTGTATAGCTGTCTATTATTTTAGACAGTGGATTACAGGCTCTGTGACTTTTTCCACAAGATACGGATTATTTTCTACATACAAATGATATAAATAGAAAGCAATTCCAGGGTCATGATGATACTTTGGGTCTGTGTTTCAGCATATCTATGGAAAGGCAGTAACCTGTCTTTTTGAGGAAAATTTACCTGGGGGTTGCAGATAGTAATATCCAGTGCTATCAAAGTAAGAATGAAAATGAATTTATTAGAAAAAGAACTCTATACTTACATTAGGATTTCAAACTGACTTAAAGACACATTTGCGTCTATTCAAGGAAAATATTTTCTAGTTGATTAAATAATGCATATGGCTTTACCATGGGGTAGAATTTCCAATGGGATGTGACTCAGGAAAAAAAAAGGCTTAAAGTGAGTTCTGAAGGGCAGGTAGGATTTAACAGGTAAAAATGGAGGGAAGAGAATCTATGGAGGCAGGAGCATGCACAAAGACTCTGTGGCGTGAAGGAGCAGTCAAGCACTGGAAAGTAAAAGTAGTATGAGGAGGCCAGTGTGGCTAGAGCAGAGTGCTTGGAGCAGCATGGAAAGAGGAGAGTCCAAGAGGTGAAAAGCGGTAAGATCACTGTGGTTCAGGTGAGGTGGGCTAACTCCTCCCCTCTACAGACTCCCAACACATGGCTCTTCCTCTCAATGCTTTTTCTAATGCTCTCCTTTACAGAGTTGATATTTCTGACCTGGGCTGCATGTACTTTATTAAAGCATTGTTTCACTGTATTACAATTATTTATTATCACATAACAATTTCTACTAGTAGACTCTGAGTTTCTTGAGGACAAGAAGTGTGAAATACTTATGTTCTTTTTTCTAGTACCATGTCTGACAGATACAAAATATATTTAAATATTTTCCATATGGCTCAATCAATCAGGTTCAGTCTTTCATAAGCAGGCACAGTTATCTGTGCTTACGTCACCCCACAGAAATGGTCTGATCCTGTATGTGCAAAGTTATTCAAATCACTGGGTAAAGGAATAGTCTAAGTATAAAGCCTAATTCAGTTGCAAGGAATGAAAATTTATTAAAATCTGCATTCCAGGAGCTCAGGGGTCTGGTCTGTCTGGTTTGACATTCAGTGCCTGGAGCAACACACATACAAAGTAGAAACCACAAACCAGTTTGCACAGTGGATAACTAGGAAAAAAGTTCAGAGACAAGACTGCCTTAATTCTGAACTGGGTTTTGCTAATGATCTCTTATGAGGCTGAGTAAATAACTCAGATTGTATATCCTTATTTTCCACCATCATTGAAAATTAATCTAAGTAAATAACTTAGGTAGTGTAGTCATATTGTCCCCATCAGTTAAAATTAATCTAAGTAAATAACTTAGATTGTGTAGCCTTATTTTCCCCATCAGAGAAGTATTATAGAATTCAGTTCAAGCCCACAAGGAGATCTAAAGCTGAGTGGGTGAAGGCTGCTAAGTTACATCTAATGGGTGCTCTTTCCATCTAACAACTGGTCCCACAAAAAGACTCTTAAGAAATTAGCCCTGGCTGGGAGCGGTAGCTCATGCCTGTAATTCCAGCACTTTGGGTGGCCGAAGTGGGAGGATCATGAATGAGGTCAGGAGTTCGAGATCAATCTGGCTAACAGGGTGAAACCCCGTCTCTACTAAAAATACAAAAAAATTAGCCAGATATGGTGGTGTGCACCCATAATCCCAGCTAGTCAGAGGCTGAGGCAGGAGAAGCATGTGAAACCAGGAGGCACAGGTTGCAGTGAGCCAAGATCGCGAATTGCACTCCAGTCTGGGAGACAGCGTGAGGCTCTGCCTCAAAAAAAAAAAAAATAATAATAATAAATAAAAAAATAAAATAAAATAAAAAAATAAAAAAAAGAAAAAGAAATTAGCCAAGTCTATTTTAAAGGGAAAGTCCATCTCATCATAGATTAAAATGCAGCAAAAAAGAAACTCAGAGATAGATTATGCTTAACATATTTTGTGGGTTAGTAGTTATATGGCATAGTAAGTTGGACTGGGGATAAGAAAAAGACAAGTATGTAAAAATGATCTAAAAATATTTTGAAAAACGATTAACTTTTTTGTTGTTGTAAAAAAATACCTTTGAATCTTAATGGTGCAACCATGGGTATATATTTATGCTAATATTATACCAAAAGAAAGCCTGAGTGAAAATATAAAGTTGTCAAGTACTGGGAAAAAATTACACAAAGCTATTGCTAAAACCCTAAATTTTATAGGGAGTATAGTCATTTCAAATTAATACTATAAGCTCTTTCATTAGAATATTAGTTTTTTGAGTGCAGATACTATATCTTAATCTGTTATATTCCCAGTACTTAGCATAGCTCTAAAATAGAGAAGAATCTCAGTAAATATTTGAGAAATGAAAAAATAAATAGAAAAGACCCATATGGAGTACCTTCCTTCTCCCACTCTTCAGGCTAAATATCACAAATAAAATCCTCCCTTGACTTTGAAAGTTGAAGATCCTTCCTAGAAATATGAGATATCAGAATTACTTTTGCCAAATTGTAAGTAGCTCTTGGGCCCTTTGACATTGGGAAGAGAATGCTGTTGACTTGCCTAATGTGTTGTGGCATTCAGTGATGGTTCTATTCAAGCTTTTAAGGATGAAAAAGTAATTGAGTGAGCTAAGAGAATGGGGAACATAAGGAGAACTATCCATTCATCCATTCAGTGAAAAACCAGCCTAAATGCTCATCAAGCAACAAGTGGATAAAGAAAATGTGGTATATACACAATATGGAATACCACCACTTACGAACTAATGAGTGCTCTCCCACCTGACAACATGGTTATCCATGTAACCAAACACCACATGTTCCCCCAAAACTACTGAAATAAAAAAAATAAGTAAATTTGTAAGAAATTGACAAGAAAATAATCTTTTAGGCATAAAGTCAATTTACTGACATTTATGCACTTAGACACACTGTACAAAATAAAGATAAAAAATACAGATATGCTTAATAAACACAATATTTAAAAAATAAAAAGACTGTTAACAACCAGAAACTAACTTGGCCATTCGGTTCACACAGGATTGTTATACAATCAGGACTTGCTCTAAACTTGTCTTGTTCTTTCCAAAGAAAATCTGATGGAGGTTGATGCTTTGCTTCAGATGCTGCTGCCCATACCTGTAAGAAAATTGTTAATGACAAATACCACTGGAGTCGAATACAATTTTGTAAATGTCATAGGGTTACTCTGACATAATCTTTCTGAACAGATGAGGTTTTAAAATATAATGACTTTAGCATATACAATGTTAAGCTGTGTAACACCAAACAGCTACTCTACAGGGCTTAAAGGAAAAAACGAGAAAGAGAGGAACCCTCTTGCATCAGCTAATTATCTGTTCTCTAAACAAATAATCTCTTTGCTTGTCTTTTCAAGTCTATATTTACTTGGTTTCAGGAAATAAGGAATTTCATTTTAATAGTTAAATTATAAAAACAAAATATTGTACACAAAATTGAAGACAGCTGTGGAAATTTTACTATGGGTATTAATTTACATCCAGAAGATGGACAGTGTGGTGTAATTAATCAACAACAACAAATTCGCATCTTATGTTCAGATCCAGATCAAGTGATAATGAGACAGTGCTGAGCCACAGGCAGACAGTGTCAATAAGTTTGTTGTGTACAATTCTAATGTACAGTATTTATACTCTTATACTCACGGTTACTGTGGAATTGGCCTGCATTATGATATTTGGAAGGAATTGGTACAAAGAAATTGTTTGTCCATTCACATTTTGCCGGAGAATATGATCTCCAATTGCCATTTCTTTGTCAAGGGAAGAGTTAACGAGCTTTATGAACAAACCCTTGACATTCACTTCAGCTATTTTAACATCTCCAAGAGAACTACAAAATAAAACACAAAGATTATAAGGGGCATTCAGATAGGAGTGTCTTTGACTCACTTTAAGAAGTGAATAACAAAGTGCTTGAAAGTCTTTGTATATACTATTGGGCAAGTTCTACATAGAAATAATACATTTTGTAACCTCAGACAAATGGCTTGAGCTTTTAGTTCTATTTCTTTATCTGCGCAATAAAATAATCTATTTCATATAAAATAAAGAAAACCTAAAAAGTACTTTAGGTGTCAAGATATAAAAGCCACAGGAAGGTGTGAATTAAAATAATTTAAATTTCCTACTGTTCAAGATAAAATCATTGAAACATGAAACTCTCAAAAGTAGATCAAGAGACAAATCATTTAATTCATTTCTGATAAAGTGACTGAAGATAAATAGAAACTATGTAATTAAAAGATTTTTGAAAGGTAAAAATGTTACAGAAACATAAAATGGCATTTTTCACCTTTTAACTTGTGTTGAGAGCTTACTATGTATGATCCAGGGATCAAGCTAATCATTTATATATCATTATATATCAGCATTTTTCAGATTGTGAGTCACAACTTATTAGTAGATCAAAAATTACTTTGGTAGGTGAGGACCCTCAACTTAAAAATAAAATATATCTGTACTAATAATAACAATACTATTTATATGCCAGGTACTGAAAAACATTATATATCTAATATCTCTATATGTATATGTATGTCTATGTTTATATTATTTATCTACTTATCTCTTTATGTGATTCTCCACAATTTATTTTCTGCAGTACCAAAGTCCGAAAAGCTCCAAAAAAACCCCCAAAAGTCTGGTCCAAAACTGAGGTGAAGCTATTTATAGTCTTTGTTCATAGTTTATGTGAATATTTATATGTTTTTCTGTGAAAAGTTTGATGTTTCATTTTTGATATTTCTGTAATCCCTGACAGAGTGTTATATAATATGTGTTCTAAAATTTCCTTTCCTAAAATTCTGAATTTGGAAATACATAAGTTCCCATGTATTTTGGTGAAGGCATTGTAGACTCACAGTAACTCTTATAATTCTCACAATAACATACATATTTCTTATTGAGGATCACATTAAAAAAATGTATGGAATGCTGTATTATCTCCTTTAATTCTTAAAACAATTCAGTTAGGTAGTATTTTTAGTCCCATTTTATAGAGAAACTGAGGTTTAGAGAGATTAATTCCCATGTCCAAGGTCACTCCATAAATATTAATCCTTGTCCTTCTGCCTCACTCAACTAGTAAAATCTCAAATAGATTTGACCTAAATATTCAGAGTGTTTAAATTCTGTATACACCATGGTGGCTGAGTGCTTCTAGCAAATGCGTGCGCGTGCACACACACCACACACACACACACACACACACACACACACACACACACACAGATTGCTGCTACCAAAAAACTAGTGGTCTCCAACTACACCTGTGCCTTTGCTGATTGACAGCAAGTTGTCATCTTCATAAGCCAAGTCAGCAACTTCTGCCATCCTTCAACAATGTTCAAATCCCTGTCCCATACCTCTATTCTCTTACTTGGAAAATTATCTCACTAAGAAAACATGACCATCAGAGAGAAGTACATGTCCCCACTTCCCACTTAGAAACAGGCTCACCTATAGCTGAGCCCACCTTTTCTCTGTAGCCCACCCCGTTTCTATGGAAGAGGCCCCTTCTCCCATCTGCAGTGAAGCCCTCTGGTCACCACCTCCTCCTGATGCTTCAGCAACTCAGTCCCCTCATTGTCCTTCCTATCTCCTTTAACACCAGCTTCTCCCTCTGGACTACCTATTTCCCCAAATGGGTACACATCTTTGAGGGGCTATCACCTTAAAAAAAAGAAAAAAGAAAACAGTCCTTCAACTTACAATTCCTACTGCCATCACAGCCTAGCTTTTGGAGAAGGCTATGTCACTTATTAAAATCACCTCTTATTTACTTCTCAATCCACAACCACCTACCTCTACTAGAGACCCACATGACCAGTGCCCTTTACAATCGAGAAACTGAGTGGCAACCGTTAGTCCATATCTTCATGTCTCCTCAGTATTGGCCTCTGCCAGATGTGTCCTCTTTTTGGAAACCCTTCCCTTTGTTTCTTGAAAGTCCACTGTTTTGCCTCTATCAGTCTTATTCTTTTTCAGCTCCTTTTTCAGATTTTACCCAGCCCCTTCACCCATCTCCCAGATGTTGATCCCTGGGATTCTGTTCTTAGCTCTCTTTTATTTCCCCCATTTATCCTTATAGGTGATGTTATCCATGGACAGTGTTTACTAGCCATTAATACACCAGTGACTGCTAAAACTTAATCTCCTGCCTAGACCTTCCTACTGAGCTTCAGACCCACAGAAACAACTGACTATAAGATCCCAAAACGTACCTCTGAATTCATCACTTTGGTCTGTTGCAAATTTACTCTTCCAAGCAGGAAACTTTTCCAGTGAACTGTATCATTTACCCTGTTGGCTAATCCTGAAACTTCCATGACTGTCCCAGTTTCTTACCCTTCATTCCTTATCCCTGATCAAGTTCTGGTGATTCTTCCTGTTTAGGGGCATCTATTTACATCTTCTCTCCATCCCTATGGCTACTGCCTTTATCACGCTCTCATAGTCTCTGTGAGACACTGATTCGGCATCCTAACTGTTGTCTTCAGCTACCCGCTTCTGAACATTCTCCACTTTGCTTCCAGAACAATCTTTGTACAATCCAAACCTGACATTTCCGCTTCCCTCCTGGAAATCCTTCAATATCTTACCATTTCCTTCTACAGAAAACACAAACATTACAGCATTCAAACAAAGCCCTACATAATCTGTCAGCTTCTTTAACCCCTTTTTCCTTACTTCCTACGTTATGCTTAAACTGCTATCATAAAGAATTCCTTGCAAAAGTATAATTCATGCTGCTGCAGGCTTCACTCACCACGTGCACACATACTATTTCCTCTTCTTGGTCCCCATATCCTTATAAACACTTCAAATTTTCAGCCTTATTTTTTTTTTTTTTTCTATCACAGGTACATAATGGAATCTCATTGTATTTTATTTTCTTCCTGATTATGTTGGGGGAATCAGCAAAGGAGAAAGGACTTACAGAGTGTCTACATAAATTGGTTATTAGTAACACATAAACTGGGAACAACAAACTACAGCAAACTAAGGGAGGCCACTAGGTAGGCAAACTTCCTGCCTCATGTTCCGGTGCAGGGTGACCTAGGCTCTGTTACCATAAACATTGTGCTCCAGAACGTAAAACCCCTTCATTGAACTAAGATGTAACCAGATTTGTAAGCTCCTTGTAAGGTCCCTGTTCCACCAGCTGCACATAGATAATAGGCTAAAGATAACCACAGGTTCTTGTTTTGTGAAACTCCCGAACTGCCTTTGTAAGCAATCTAGAATGACACATCAGTTCTGGCTCACTGATTCACTCCACCATCACATCACCCTCTCCCTACCATCACTCCACCACCTGCCCTATAGATCAAAGTGATTGTAACCAATAAATACTGTGGGAGATCAGAGCTCGGGGCCTTTGCACTCTCCTTTATGCACTGGCTCCCTGGTCCCACTACATGTATTCTTAATCTGTATTTTTCTCATTTCTTTGTCACCACTGAACTCAGGGTACCCACGGGTGGGATGTGGGGCTGGTTGCCTACATTCTGGCACCTAACATGTGGGGCTCCCTACAGATTATAGGGCAGTTACACAAGCTGCTTATTGGCTACTCAGTTTTCCTCTTTGATAAATTGCCCGTTCATGTCATTTCCCTCACTTTTCTGAATTTACATTTTTATAATTGATTTGTGTTATTCATAGCACAGTATTTAATTATATGCACATATTTTCTGCAAGAAGAGACTTCTAAAAAACTTCATCTATAATGTTTGTTATGGTACAGTTGATACTTCTAAAATTTTTACTATGATAAAATTTATCATTTTTTTCTTTATAGTTTCTGCTTTTAGTTCCTAGGTATGAAAACTTTCCCTGCTCTAACGTCATATTTTCTTTTAAATATTCAAGAATTTGAACAGCTTTATTTGTATGTATATATGTGTATATGCGACAGTATATTTCATATAAGGAACTAATTTTCCTACTTATGTTTATTAGATTGTCTATCATCTCCCTGCTGATTGGTAATGTCACCTTTGTCCAATAGCAAGTTTCTGAATATTGTAAGGCTTTCTAAGCTGTTCCGTTGATCTAGCTGTTCCTCCTATGTCTATGCCAAATGGTTTTAATTTATATTGTTTTAGATGAAGTCTTGATTTTGGTTGGACAAATCCCATCTCATTTTCTTTTCCAATATTGTGTTAACTGTTTTAAACTTTAACCCTTTGTGGTAAGCAAAATAGCTTGATCAAAGATGTCCATTTCTAATCTCTGGATCCTGTGAAAGTGTTGTCTTAGATAGCAACAAGGACTTTGCAGATATAACTAAAATTATGGATCTTAAGATAGGGAGGTTATCTTTGGTTATTTCGGGTGGAATAAATGTAATCAAATGAACCCTTAAAATTAGAATTTACTCCAGCTGGAGGCAGAAGAGAGCTGCAGCGGAAGGGAAGTTAGAGAGAATCCAAGCACAAGAAGGATTTGATGCACTGTTGCTGGCTCTGAGATGTGGCAGCCTTTGTGCAGGGACTCGGGAGAGGCCTTTTGAAGCTAAGGGTGACTGCGCTGACAGTAAGGAAGTACTATCACCACAAGAAACTGAATTTGGCCAACAACCTCGAAGAGCTTAGAAGCAGATTTATTTCAGTGTTCAGGTAAAAGCCTGTTTGACACCTTAATTTTGACCTTGTAAAAGTCTAAGAAATCAACTGAGACAACCCAGACTTATGACCTAGGGAACTGGGTTACAAGTTAATAAGTGGGTGCTATTCATGTTATTTTTAATTTACTAAGTTGGTGGTAATTTGTTATGGCAGTAATAGAAAACTAATATATATTTCTTGTGATTTTAGAGTTAGTTAG